ATAAATTTCACAGTAATTAGCAACCGGTAGCTATTTTTAAATATTATTTTCTTCTTCAGAAGCTTGTTATTTTCCAAAAGCTGTACATTTCAGTATTGTAACAACACCAAGTTTATGTAAATCGGAGTTAATGCTTATTTTGTAACACAAAATGGCAGACCTCTTGTTCGCGAAATTGGCCATTTTGCTTCAATTTTCAACCCCACTTCATATCCCAGAAACCGAAGGTCCTAGAGACATAATTATTTCACCAAAATAAAGCATATTTACATAACACAATCATGCAAACACATTACACATAGCTCGAGAAGTTTATTTTCTAATGTTTGCAATAACCGTACAGTAGATTAAATAATTACGTAAACTTGAACTAGCTACAAGCAGCTATTTTTAAATATTAATTTGTTGTCGATAACCTTGTTATTTTCCCAAAGCTGCACATCTCAGCATTGTAACAACACCAATTTTTTTTTAATCGGAGCAGAATTGACAGAGTTACTGCCCGTTTAGTAACGCCAATTGGCAGGCCCCCCTTTTCGCGAAATCGGCCAGTTTGCTTCCATTTTCAGCCCCACTCCATATCTGAGAAACGAAAAGAGCTAGAGACATAAGTATCTCACCAAGATGAAGCTTATTTATCAATCAACACAGCCATACAAGCACATGACACATACCTTGAATAGTTTAATTTCTGAGGTTTGAAATACAGGCACAGAAAATTAAACCAACGGCTGCCAGGCAGGATACGCCCACATTTTCGAGAGATGGATAGAGAACAAGCAAAAAAGAAAGTAATTTTTCGTACAATCAGGGGCCATAATTCAGGAAGTTACGGTCCTATATGCACGAATATCGAAAGGAACCGAGATCTTTGGGTTATAAACTTACATTTCAAGTTTCAACAAAATCGGATAAAAATTGTGACCTCTATAGGGTCCACAACCTTGATATACCATATTTTTTTTATGCTATTTGAAACTGAAGGGCGGCCATTTTGTCTGTCAGTTTTGGGCCGATTTGCACGAAATTTGAACTCAGTTGTCCTTAGGGTGTAACGGTGATATTATAATACGTTTTTTAAATCGGATAAAAATTATGACCTCTATAGGGTCCACAAGCTAAAATTGCGATTTTTCGTACAATCAGGGGCCATAATTCAGGAAGTTACGTTCCGATATGCACGAATATCGAAAGGAACCGAGATCTTTGGGTTATAAACTTACATTTCAAAATAGGATTAAAATTGTGACCTCTATAGGGTCCACAACCTTGATATACCATATTTATACGCTATTTGAGAACGACGGGCGGCCATTTTGTCTGTCAGTTTTGAGCCGATTCTCACGAAATTCTAACTCAACCGTCCTTAGGGTGTAACGGTGTTATAATAATACGTTTTTTTAAATCGGATAAAAATGTGACCTCTATAGGGTCCACAAGCTAAAATTGATTATTATCATCGGAGAGATGTTTTGCAAATAAAGGGGACAAAGTAATATTAATACTATAAATCGAAATTTTGTTACTATATATTATAGTGCGCCCTTCCATGTAACTTACTTAGGGACACTTTACAAAGTGACAATTTAATCTTAAAAAAATCAAGATTAAAAGCCTGTTTAAATAGCTGTGTTTTAAATAGTTTTTTTTTTTTTTTAAAGAATATATATATGTACAACATCTTAAACTAAATGGTAGATTATTCCATAAAACAGATATACCTGTATCAAGAGATAGTTTGTTACTGGTTGCAGTAAATTTTACTATACACGTTTGTATATGTATTCTATTTACATGCCATAAAAGGTTTTAACCATAAATTACCTTATTTTTCAGTTTGCACAATTTTTTAAGTTAGCGAAAACAGTCAATTAATAAATCTATAAACAAAATTAACAACCGTAATTCAGACAGCAACTTCTAATACACATTTTGGTTGAAATAAATAATCCGCGTGCAGCTTGTTAATTAGTTTATTACTTTATGGCACCAATCAAGTATCAAAACACTGCATTTGTTACGCAACACCTAGAGGTCAACGTTTTCAAACATTCTGATCAACCAACCATAACAAAAAGATGGCAATACTTTCCCCCAGTTTGACTGTATATACAGGATACTAGTGCTCTAATATTGTGTTTTAAAAAACGATTAGAAATGTAGACGGTGTTATTGATAAACTATTTAAATGTTCACATCATATCCCAAGTAATTATATCGTCTAGTTCTATCGGGAGCAGATCCATCGTTCAGTAATTATAAGTTTATGGATTTTTAAATTCTTCGCTGAATCCACGGGATTTTTATTTTTCATTTTGGCGCCAACGGCTCGGCCTTCAATGCATACCATCAATCAAATGTCAATATGTGAACTTACGCGTTTAATCAAATGAAACAATGCATACCATCAATCAAATGTCAATATGTGAACTTACGCGTTTAATCAAATGAAACAATGTCTAAAATGATTATAAAATAAACCTGATATTGCTTTCTGATGTGGCTGGGTTATTTCAGGTGCCAGTCGTATGAATATGAAGACAGTACATGTATATTTACATAAAGCAAATTTGACTTATTCGCTCTATACCCAGGGATATTAAAATTGGGGTCTACCTGTTCGATATTTATAAATGACAACATTGCATTTCGTGCGATAGATTAAGGTCAATATTTTTATTTTATTAAATGCAATTTTATAAGTAGCGTGACTCTATGGTACGCAGTATAAACGCCTGGTATAGTCGAAAGAATAGAAGACAAGTTGTAAGACTTTGGTCCTTAAGACAATATTGGGTCTTTGAAAAATTGTTGGTTAACTCTTTCTATAGAGTCAAATCCCACGTACTAATAAAAGCGAAAGACATGTTTATATGTAAAAAAAACAGTGATATTTTGGTAAAATCCTAACCATTGTCAAAATATCCATCAAATTCTATCTGTTTATGACATATGGTTGGTAGACCAAATAAGGTAATGTTCTCCCCCCTGGTCTTGGGAAATGGGGAGGTTTATTCCATATTTTGGATTGAAATTAAAGTCAAGGTCAGTCTAGGACGTGCAGAAATTAGTTATAAAAGAGGGTGTCAAGTGAGACTGATCAGAGCTCACCCAGGTATTCCGAGCAGCTATCATTTATTGAGAACGAGGGACCTTTGAAGCCAATCCAGCTTAATAATAAAGTTGAAGAAATCATTTAACCTTTAGTTTTATATATTAGGATCACGAAGAAAACACAACAAGGAAATCCAATCTAAAACATACGGTCGAATGATAAATCGCACGGTAAAACAGTTTTACTTCCCAAATTTTGATTTAACACGTACGTGTCAGATAAAGCCTGTTGGTCCTTGATTATACTCCTTTTGATGCAGTTATCGCAACTAGCGAGAAAACACGCCAATTAAACAATACACAACATTGACATTCATTTTTTACTGGTCGGTTAATTAACACACCTCTACTGAAAACCCACTGTCGCACAGTTTTTCACCCCCAGTGTTAATTAACTCACCTCTCAGACAGTTTTTCACCCTTGTTAATTAACACACGTTATTTACAGTTTTAACGTGGTAATACCGAGTAATAGTCGAAAAATTAATTTTCTTTCGATACACGTACAAATAACAACCATGACTGAGAATTATATGGTGGCTGTGTACAGATTCACCCTTCAGCAGTTCTCAGTGTCATTAAGTAATTATCTGAAAATCATTAGAAATTGTTTGGCTTTTAGCTCTGCCCAATGCTAACGTTTAGTATACGAAACATTTAAAGGGGAAGACCAACGATTTTCAACAAGGTTTCCATAAACCTTAAATATATATTGATAAATAATCCCCTCTGTAGCACAAGCAAAAAAGTTTTTGTAAGTAAGAAATTAATTTTTATTCAAACCGAAAGTGACATAGTTGGTTCAACACACTCACTGGGCTCTATATAGTAAGCATACAGATTTGGCACAACTGTCAATGAGATGGAAGGCAACTTTCCGCCAGCACTTTACAGTTCTCAATTCTGCTGCATAATGATTTGTCATTTGATCACTGAGGTCAACCCCTCCCATGCTGTTGTCTTTCTTAGTTAGCTTGATATCATTAGCGGAACCATGCGTTGTTAAAATCCTAACTTGTCTGCGATCGTACCAATTGACTGCCAACAGCTGCCCTTTGCTTACAGCAATAACTTCGTCTTTTTTTTTTAAAAATTTGTTTGATTCCTGGGGGCAATCCCTTACGGTTTGAACGAACCGTGCCTGTAACATATATTTGTTCAGACAACATATTAATACTTAAGTCTATACTAGTATAATAATTGTCTGCAATTAAATGATGATACTTTCCACCGTGGTTTCTCAACAATTTATCACATACATCATACGGCTGTCCATATTGTGAAGTTTTTATACTTGATGTGTGGTATAAGGTCTGATACAAATATCCAGTCCTAGAATGAGACAGGTTATATTCCATTGGTCCCCACTGATGATGTTTTTTAATTCTTATGTAGTTCACAAGATCGTGTCTGCCCTTAAAACCAACTATGCTTATGTTACATGTCAGAAGATATGCACGTGCCCAAGACGTATTAAAATTTGTAAATGGGATTATAATTTATAAATTAAACGAGACTTACCTGTAAGGTGAAGTTTGATTGTAATTCTATACCGTCATCTTCTTCAGTAGGGATCACATGAGATAAGCTCTAAGTCACGTGGTCGTCAGGTTTTAAAGTAATTGTACATATGCCAAAAAACATTCCCAGAAAAAACAAGGGAGGGAGTTTAAAAAACAGTTCTATTAGCAACCCAGGGAGGGCATGTGATCCCTACTGAAGAAGATGACGGTATAGAATTACAATCAAACTTCACCTTACAGGTAAGTCTCGTTTAATTTATAAATTCTATCCCGTCATCCTTCAGTAGGAATCCCATGAGATTTCAAAGCTTGGCATGTGTACAAAACATTCCAAACAAAAAATAATGAATAAACACCATAATCTAAAGTAATAAATGATGTTTATTATAAAGGATGCAATGTAAGCAAAACAAAAGAACAAGCTTCTCAGCTCTTATACCGGTACTGTAACCCCAGTAAAACACCAACTCTTGGCCAATTCAAAAAATCTAAACATAATAAACAATACTTATTATACATAGTTATAACATCAAAGTTATCACTCCAGCCTGCAACATAAATCTAATCCTTATGACTAGACAAAACAGACAATGCAAAATCTGCATTGTGAGCTACTGTGTCATTTACAGTATCTACAGGCAAATCATAAAACTTCTGAAACGTCCTACAAGATGCCCAACCTGCCACTTTCAATAAAGCTGTTAAAGATATGTTTCTACTAGCTGCACTAGTGGATGCTGCCCTAGTACTGTGTGCACTAAAAACCTTAGTGTTAATGCCTGCCTGTCTGAGTGTAGATTTTACCCATCGTGCTATTGTGGATTTAGACGCAATAGAATATGGTTTAACTGTTGTAATAAAAAGGTTACAAATATTACCCCTTAAATTAGTTGTGCGTGAAATGTATTCATTTAGTGTTCTAACTACACAAAGATTTTCATTTGAATATAAAGGTAAGACAAGGACTGGCTGTGCCCTATTAGGCTTTGACTGTTTTATAACAGAGGTAATTGGTATAGTTACTCCCTCTGGCTCCCATATAAAATCATTCATATTTAAAGAATGCAAAGATTGACATCTTTGTCCAGACAAAAGACAAAGTAAAGTTACTAATTTAATAGTTAACTGTGATAAAGTCAAAGAAACAAGAGGTGAAAGTTTTTCTAAAAAATTCAACACAGTTTCCACATTCCACACATGATTATATCGTGGTAAAGCTGGGCGCTGTTCAAACACACCTTTTAAAAAACGAGACACTAAAGGGTGCTGTCCAACTGAGAATACACTGTCATGAAGAACAATAGTCGAAGACAATGCAGATCTGGCCGTATTTAAGGCACTATATTTTAAACCCATGTTAAATAATTCCACAAGAAAATCTAATATGTCAGTCACAAAGGCAAACACTGTATCAACTTTTCTTCTACAACAAAACTGTTCCCATCTCTTGAGGTAGGTATCATATTGTTTTGAGGTTCCCAATCGCCATGATTTACAGATAATGTCTTGAGCTGCTTTCGATACTCCTTGCATCGCAAGGTTATTCCGGACAATGGACAGACTAGAAGAATTAACTTCCTCCATAATTTGTGTTCCACCTGTGGGTTGAAGGGTAGGAACAAAGTTGACTTGTTTAACTTGACTTCCCTTGGAGAATCGATTAACATCTTCAACATTGTTGAAAACCAGGGTTGAGTAGGCCACATTGGGAGGATCAAGATTATGTGAGATATCTCTTCTATTTTTATCTTTTTCAAGACCTTGGATACAACACTGAAAGGTGAAAAACCATATGGTAAATGAAAAGATTTCCAACATATAGAAAAAGCATCAATTGCTATAGCCTTAGGATCTGGTTTCCAGGAAACATAACAGTTTACTTTATTATTTAATCTAGAGGCGAACAAATCAACATCAGGTTCCCCAAATGTATTTATGATCTTATCAAAAATGGCCTTATCAAGTGTCCATTCAGTGTTATGGTCAAAATTACGTGACTCTCTATCAGCCACCACATTATTTATTCCAGCTACATGACTAGCAGTTAAATTAATGTCTTGCTGTAAGCAAAATTCAAATATCGTTTTAGTAATGGAATTACATTGAGGTGATTTGCTGCCCCCCTTGTTGTTAATGTAGCAAACTGCTGTTGTATTGTCAAGCTCAATACGAACAGATGTATTGCGATGTATAGCACATAAGGATTTTAGACCAAATAGCGCAGCCTGCAACTCTAAGCAGTTAATATGCCATTGACTCTCATCAACATTCCACCTACCTCCAGTCGTAATATTGTCACATACTGCCCCCCAGCCTAATAAAGAGGCATCAGTCCTGATAAACACTGTTGGGGGTTCTATGATAAGTGGCTTGTAGGCTTTGACAAGATTATTAGACCACCAATAAATGTCTTTTTTAGCTTCGATGGATAAAGTCATACATTGTTCATAATTACCATGTGCCAATTTAAGTGCAGATATTTTTTCCATCTCAATATTCCTATAAAAAAGTTCTCCATGCTCAACTGCTGGTAGACAGGAAATATAAATACCTAATAGTTTTGCAACAGTACGTATCTTGGGTTTCTTCATTAACAACAATTCATTTGCAAACTTAATGGCATAATCAACTTTCCTTGCAGGAAGTCTAATGTTCATTTGTTCTGAATTAAGAACAAAACCTAAATGTTCAAGCTTTTTTGTAGGGGTCAATACAGACTTATCTTTATGCACAACAAAACCTAAGGATTTAAATAAAGTAACAGTTATGTTAATGTTTCTACAGCAATTCTCATAAGAATCACTCATTAAAAATACATCATCAATATAGCCACTTGATGTAAGAGCTTGTTGTCTGAGAAAAGCAAAAATAGGTTTCAAAAGCTTAGTAAAATAGCGCGGTGCTGAAGCTAAACCATTTGGGAGTACTCGAAACTGATAAAGTTCGCTATTCCATTGAAATTTCAGATACTTCCTGTAATTTCTCGCAATTGGTACAGAATAGTAGGCATCCTTCAAATCTAGTGATGCCATAAAACATGAAGGCTCTATTAAATCAATAATTGTTTGAATCGTGTCCATTTTGAAATGATGATACACAATATATTCATTGAGATTTTTAAGATTTAAAATCATTCGATGAGAACCATCCTTTTTTGGCCTAATAAATATTGTGGATAAAAATTCTCCATTCTCATGAGATGTTAATTCTATAACACCTTTATCAAGAAATTTGCTTAATTCATGTGAGATGATCTCCTGCTCAGTTTTATTAAAAACATGCTGATTGGGTTTACTTAACTGAACCGGTATTTCTGTAAATTCGAGTTCAACCCCCTGTATAGCGTTGAGAATCCAAGGATCGGATGTGTATTTTTCCCAAACATGGGTAAAATTTTCCAGTTGTCCACCTTGAAACATTTGAAAATCATACTGTAACTCAGACAACAAACTGCTTCCATCATGAAAAGTGGATAAAGACACACAAGTATCTAGTGGTAAGGGATAATGAGACTGACACTCACCTACCTCTGTGTTATCAGACAATAAATCATGCTCACTGGTACTTAGACTTTGGGTTTGTTCAGACCCGGTACATGTATTTTTCTTCGTTTTGGTGGCGGCACACTTCGTTTGTCTAAAAAACGATTTCCACCTGGCCTTCCATAGTTTCTGCTATTTGATTTATAAGCGTATCTTCTATTCTTGGCTTCCATTTTATTGTAGGGGCTATATCTTGTGGATTCCCTGCTGTAACTTGAACGATCTCGATTCACTTTCTGTACAACCCTGTTGGTTTCAGAAATCTCTCGTAGTCGATCAGTTAAATCAGCACCAAACAGCAAGGCACCGTTCGGTCCTTTAATTGTACATAATGAACGGTAATTAGTGTTAACGTCTGTTTTCATCAGAACTCGGCGTCTGCCATTTACTTCTGCATTAACTGCAGCCAAAAGTGCCATGGAATCGGTGAGGAATTGGTGTCCATGTTTGTTTACATTGACAGTGTCAATGGCCGTAGCGCCCCCTGTAGACGTCATAAGTAACTCTGCCAACTTTGTAAGCGGGATAAACGCCTTCATAATGATGTTCTGAATTTTTTGAAGTTTAATGTCGGTTGAGCGTGTTTCCCCGCTCAGCGACTCCCAAATTGGCGGATTAACTTTAGTTTGAGTCAAATTTTGACAATTTTGTGGGCGTGTATAGCGGTTGAGTAATTCATTCGTCTTTTCTTCGGACAACCCATGTTTGATCATGTTATTTACCGCTTCTGCCAGACTGGCTTCAATATTAGGCCCACATACTTCATCAATATTATTATATTGAGAAAAATAGTTCGTTAAACAAACGGGATTTGAAACTTCTTGTTCGCTTTGACCAGAATGTGACCTGGGGGGCTCTTTCTTCCCACTACCAGAAACAAGTAATTGTTGCAATGCCGTTGTGCCGTCAACTACTTCAGTATTATTTACATTTTCTTCGTCGCTTTCATCTTGCTCGTCGTAATGAGACGAACAGTGCGAACTGATTTCATCTTCCTTGTCAAAATAATAGTTAAAGAATTCCTGTTGATTTTTCTTCAACTGTTCAATATTTTCTGTTTGAGATTTTCTAAAATCATCCATCATTAATTTCATCGAAGACGAAATAGAAGACGATATTGCAGCTGCAAACGAATTTTCGTTCGAAATATTCAAATTCCTGTTAGGAAAAACTGCTGGTTTATTCAGTTGCTCAATAGAGCCCGCTGCGGCACTAATACTAGAAGTAGGCCTAGCTGCACTCGACCGGCTGTGATTTGACTTTTTCTGCGAAGGTTTCCCTTTCGAAGAAGGGGGTGTCGGGATCAAACTTTTCCCCCCAACAGCATTTGGATGCTTTGTAAGTAAGTTAGGTTTACTTGTCAAAAAATTATCAGATCCATCAGTGATTACACTGGTTTTATCCGAGCTACTTTTATTATCACACTCAGGCGACGCCATGACAGGTCGTGCTTCGCTCATCAAGACAAATGAGCGATAAAATAAAAAGATCTAAACCACAAAAAAAAAGTTTCGTTCTAGCGGGTTTCCGCCGAAACCAGGTTCACCAAGCAAAGCAAAAGGTGAGAGTGGTAACTAAACCGTAAAAATGACAAATTATTGTCATTAAAACAAAGATCAAATAGACAGAATTGTCTGCTATGTGACCACGCTCTCGAGACCAAACGAGCTACTGACGACCACGTGACTTAGAGCTTATCTCATGGGATTCCTACTGAAGGATGACGGGATAGAATTAAAAGTTTTTTTTTTCGGCTCCATCGAACTGTCGCTGACATGAAAACAACGAAGGAGTTTCTAAATATTGGTGTCTCTTGGGATAAGTCTTTCACATTCCAATACTGTTCTAATGTATGCTTTCCTACTAAGCCCATATTTATGATCAACCCGATAAACGCTCTCATTTGATGTACATCAGAGTTGGAATCCATAAATCCATATTATATCTATATTGAAAGTATTTGTTTGTTTCGTCTACCAAAAACTGCCAGAGATTTATTATTTGTCAAAAAATTTATCAAAATACTTCACAGGTTCATGACAGTTCTCTGGATTCCACACAGGACCGGACTCTGCTGTAAAATCATGTAAGATTGGGGGGCCTGTCATTTTGTCTATCATTCACATGTATCCAAATGTCGTTTAATTGGTCTTCTGTACCAAAATTATCATCTTGATGTACTAGTGTTTCAACATCATTAGGCCTAATATTTATCGTCAACTCCATCGAGCATCTACTTGGTATGTTTACATTTACATCTCGTTCTTGACAATCTCGATCTGATTCACTTGAATCTGACTCGTATGCAGACAGTTCATCAATGTTAGACGAACAATTTTCTTCATCAGAAATATGGATCATGTCAACAACATCGTCTACAGTAACGTATTAGGGCGAGGACGCTTACGGGGTTTTGTGGCAGACGCCATGTTATTGACAGTCCCGGGCTGTCTGTTTATGTTATCGCTAAGTAACGGTAATATCCGGCTTCAAATCAAAACAATATAAGAGTTACCGTTTTTATAAATTAGATTATGCACTTCTTTCACCCATTAGTCGATAAAAATAGAATTATCTCATTCAGCCAATCGTGTACATTGTTACTGTCGCGACATTAATGTCGCTATCCCCGTAAAACGCGCGTGTCTGAAAACGACATTCATGTCGTTATCCCCCTAAAAGGGTTAACTTAAGCCTCTAGAGCATTCACAAGATTTTTCAAAGTGATCAAGGGTCATAACTCTGGCAGTATTTATTGGAAATTGCTGAAAATCAATAGGCTTCTTTGTCTCATGACCTTAAACACTGTGTATAAATTTAAATTTCAATCGGATATTAACTTTGACCTCTAGAGCGTCTACAAGTTTTTTTGAAGTGATCAAGGGCCATAACTCAGGCAGTAATTATCGAAAATGGTTGAAAATCAATAGGCTTCTTCGTCTCACGGCCTTAAACACTGTGTATAAATTTAAAGTCAATCGAATATTAACTTGGACCTGTAGAGTGTCCACAAGATTTTTTGAAGTGATCAAGGGCCATAACTCTGGCAGTAATTATTGGAAATCACTGAATATCAATAGGCTTCTTCGTCTCATGACCTTAAACACTGTGTATAAATTTAAAGTCAATCGGATATTAACTTTAGCCTCTAGAACGCCGGACGGACGGACAGGGGGGACAACAATATACGGCCACATTTCAATGTGGGCGTATAAAAAGGCGATTTTTCGTATAATCAGGGGCCATAATTCAGGAAGTTACGATCCGATATGCGACAATATCGAAAGGAACCAAGATCTTTAGGTTATAAACATGCATTTCAAGTTTCATCAAAATCGAATTAAAATTGCGACCTCTACAGGGTCCACAACCTTGATATACCATATTTTTACACTATTTGGGTATAGGCGGCGCCATTTTGTCCGGCAGTTTTGGTCCGATTTTCACGAATTTCGGACTCAACCTTCATTCCACTAAAATTATGACTTTTTTCTGTCATAATGGTAAAATAACGTGAACAAGTATCCCCTAATAATTTTTTTTAAAAATAGAACACAAATATAGTCCCTCACGTTGGCAGCAGTGTTCAAAGTAAATGTAAATATAACTTTTAAAAAGAAATATCACCCCAAGCTATCCACATTTTAACATTTTTGCCTTTCTTTGGATATATGGTCGTCTTCTTTGCTTTATTGCGTCGATAATAAAAATATATAGTTGAAATCTTCGACAATGCAACACTGTAACCCAGGTATCGTTTAATCTTGTGTATCTAGCACTAATTTCTTTCACATTCGTTTAATATCAAATCTTTGTTTAAATATTTGTAAAAACTCTTTAAAATCACCATAAATCGTTTAATTTGTACTACTGTCCAGTTTAAAGATGACCATTCAATTTTGATAATGAGTGTCCAATTTACAAGTGTTTAATTTCTCAATCATTGTTAAAAAATAAACAACCCAATTGATTAATGATGTATAATGATTAATTTTTGAACAGTGATCAGGAAATTAAATACATTTAAATTGGACACTCATTATCAAAATTAATCAGTCAGCTTTAAACTGGACACATGTACAAATTAGATGATTTTTAGTGATTTTAAACAATTTTTACGAATTTTTAAACAATGATTTGACATTAAACGAATGTGAAATAAATTAGTGCTAGATACACAAGATTAAACGATACCTGGGTTACAGTGTAATATTCCTCTATGTAGCTTGTATTAAATCCCAAAGTTTTGATTCAATTTAGTTTTCCAAAGTCTAGAATTATTAGCTGTAAGTTTTGTGTTATCGTCTGTTTGAAAGCATACCGTATCCAAGATGGCGGCGACACGCTTGATCTCGGCTCGAGTATCCGTATTCTTCGCATCACAACGTCAAAAAAAATAACAAATAGTTTATTTCTTCGACATTTTCACATTCTACGATATGCCTGGCAGTAAATCATAAAAAATCTAATTCCATTTCACTCTTCATATCATAAAATTATTAGCTGTAAGTGACAAAGTGAAAATATTGGAATACTGCCAAAGTCATTGACACGGTGTGAATTTTCACCTCTGACCTATTACGTAAATACTGGAAGATCCTTTTTTGAAACTTATGTTTTTTATTCGATAATTGGCGAATATAACATTCCTTGCCATTGGGTGCTTTATTTTTATTACTCAATCACCATTAATTTATGAAATAAACACAATAGAAATCTGTTGATTGATCTGGCGCTTTTGTTCGCTAATGCCGTTGCAAAGAATGATGGGTCTGCGAGTTGATTCGCTACCGTGAGTCACTTGGTGCGAGTTGTTTCGCTATTGTCAAAAATGGGTTAATAGACAATTTCATAAAGATGACATGTCGTTTGAGGGTTCACAAGGTTCTAAAAACTAAAACAAGGGCTGTAACTCTGGAAGTAATCTACAGAAACTGTTGAAATTCGACAGACTTTTTTGTTTTACTAATTCAAATAATACATATCAATTTCATACAGATCGGATGATAACTTTTGTCGTTCGAATGTTCACAAGGTTCAACAAAGTAAAACAAGGGTCATAACTATCGAAGTAATTGACAGAAATTGCTGACATTCTATAGGCTTCTTCATTTCACTAATTTAAATGATGCATATGAATTTCATACAGATTGGGTGATAACTTTTGTCGTTCAAGTGTTCACAAGATTTAACAATGTGAAACAAGGGCCATAACTCTAGATGTAATTAACAGAAATTTGCTGAAACTCAATAGGCTTGTTCGTTTTACTAATTTAAACGATACCTATAAATTTCATACAGATCGGATAATAACTTTTGTCGTTAAAGCATTCAGAAGGTATAAGAAAGTGAAAAAAAGCCATAACTCACAGTGTAATTAACGGAAATTGTTGAAATTCAATAGCCATCTTCATTGCACTAATTTAAAAGATGCATATCAATTTCAAACAGATCGGATGATAACTGTTGTTGTCATTAGAGCAATCACAAGATTCAACAAAGTGAAACAAGGGCCATAACTCTAGATTTAATTAATGGAAATTGCTGAAATTCAATAAGCTTCTTTATTTTACTAATCTAAATGATGCATATAAATTTCATACAGATCGGATAATAACTTTTGTCTTAGAGCATTCACAATTAGGTACAACAAAGTGAAACAAGGACCATAACTCATGGCGTAATTAACGGAAATTGCTGAAATTCAATAGGATTCTTCGTTTCACTAATTTAAATGATGCATATCAATTTCAAACAGATCGGACGATAACTGTTGTCATTAGAGTGTCACAAGATTCAACAAAGTGAAACAAGGGGGCCATAACTCTAGATGTAATTAACGGAAATTGCTGAAATTCAATAGGCTTCTTTGTTTTGCTAATTTAAATGATGCATATAAATTTCATACAGATCGGTTGATAACTTTTGTTGTTAGAGCGTTCACAAGAAGCAACAAAGTGAAACAAGGGCTATAACTCTAGATGTAATTAACGGAAATTGCTGAAATTCAATAAGCTTCTTTGCTTTACTAATCTAAATGATGCATATACATTTCATACAGATCGGATAATAACTTTTGTCGTTAGAG